CCAATTGACTAAGAAAAGGGAACTCACAATATTCTTGAGGCACTCCAGGAAGCCTAACCCATGCAGCCACCTTATGTATATTGGCCTTGTCCGGATCAAAGCACGGTTCCCATTTTCTAGTGGCAAGGTAGTGCCCCAAAATAATCCATGGACCCCCAGTGATGGCCATATTGAGATCTTCAAGAGAGCTGAACCTCACTGAAAAGAATTCGTTCCCTAAGTCCGCCACCGTGATGCTACCGGCTTTGGCCCAAAAGGACTCCAGCTTCTTTTTCATGAAACCCACTCCTACTTTCTTTCCCAGCAACTTGACAATGAGAGCATGTCTCCAGCGTTGTCACATCCTCGCCCTAGCCTCACTGTTGCTCTTAATCTCCACAGAGCCATCTTCCCTGAAGATCGTCTGAAATCCCCATTCAGAAATTTCCCCCAAACTTGGATCCAACGGCTCCAGATCAACATCATCCTCCTCAATCAGCCAAGGAATAGCATCCCCAGCCACCCCGTTCTCCGCGCCCGTAACATCAGCAAAGGATCTTTGCTTCACTTTCATCGGAGAACCCGACTGGAAAACCCTCACTGCTTCCCTCATTCGAACCTCAGCCAGAATTTCTTCCCCATTCTTAGATCTCTTAGTACTCTTCCTCTCCATTCGCAAAGCATCATCACAAACAACAGGATTTTCTTCCATCGAAACCCACTCAGCAAAAGAACAACAAAAAACCTAGCGCTCCAGAAAAAAATCGCGCGCGTGAACTAACGCGCCTAACCCATCTTGGTTACTATTAGAAGTTATTTTTTTGCCTTTGTTTGTTACCTGCAAAGTGCTGACTCTTTTCATCCTCTTTAACCAAGTTTAATTGTGATTGCAATCAACCATCCTAAGGAGAAGGCAGAGACAGATTTGCGTACGTTGTGTCATCTACTCGAGGGAAACTTTTTCAATATATGAGATGTACCTACTTTGGTACATTTTCCCACTAAGTAAAGATGTACATACTCTCATGCATCCAAGGTTTTTTTCTATTCGAAAGTGAGTGTAAAAAATAATATTTTACATATCTTATTTCTCAAGACAGTGACATTTTAACATATACAACACAATTTAAGTCGGTGCACAAGTCTCTCAGTCACGAGGGTAGGGGTGAGAAGTCACTAGAGAGAAAAATATTTAATTTTTAAATGAGTGACTGTGTTCAAATAATATGATCACATAATCACTTTTTCATATGAGAGAATCCACTTTCGTTGTAAGTAGTCTTATTTTTGTATTTTTGCAAAAAGAACAATAATCAAATCTAATTGACAAAAATTAAAATTGATTCTATTTAATACCTTAGATTGAGGAATTTGATATTTTTACTAAAGAGAAAGGTTATACTTACAACTTTTTTTTTTACAACCTCTTACAACCATATCTTAACACCGTTGATTTCCGTCAATCAACGGTTATTATTTATTGTGAATTAATAATTAATTAATGAGTTTAATTTGTGAAATCATAACCGTTGATTGGCGGAAATCAACGGTGTTAAGATATGGTTGTAAGAGGTTGTAAAAAAAAAAAAAAGTTGTAAGTATAACCTTCCTCTTTCCTAAATATAAAATTAAAATTAAAATTTGATATTCTTATATTGAACAATAAACAATAGACTTGTATTTTTGCACAAAGAACAATAATCAAATCTAATTGACAAATTAAAATTGATTCTATTTAATACCTTAGATTGACGAATTTGATATTTTTCCTACAATGATTTATTGAACCATATGAATGTTCCATAAAACTTTTAAAATAAGTGCATGCAAGTGAGAAAGTGTGAGAATTCTTGTGTAGAATTCAATGGGATATGAATAAGTTAATTAGTTGAAAAGGAATGGACCTAGGAAATGTGACAGGGTGCGGAATATCAGATAGGACAATATGAGTGATGGAGAAGGCTTTAAGAGGTCTAGCCTCACTCCCAAAAAATTTCACTTGGGGCTATCTACTTTTGTAAAAGAGGGAGGACTTTAGTGATGCTTGGTCCACCACATGTGTGTTGTCATGTTGGCTCTTTGACCAGTTTGGGACTTTTTCTGTTTAAATTTACGACTTTGGTATCTGGATGGGAGAAATTACCTGTTGGGATCTTTAAGTGCTGCAGGGGGATCCAACGACTCTAAATGACGCCCACAGTCCCCTGTGGTACTCATGTGATATTTTTTTTTTCGGACACAGTGCCGCCCCCACCCCTTATCGGTACTAATTCTTTTTTTTTTTGTTACTTAAGTGACTCCCAACCCCTCCCCCAACGACACTCATTTAAAATTAAGCATGTTTTAATTTCATGAGCATGCGGTCATATCAGGTACTACAATTTAGAAACTCAGGTGCACTGGCTATAAATAAAAGGCAGATTTAATTGTATTCACCTATTTCATTCCCATTAGTAAGACTCTGCAGCTGTTTGAGTCAGAGGAAAACTAACACCCACCATTAAAGCTAGGGCTGTGCATGGGTTAGGTCGGGTCAGGTTTTTGTCCGACTCGACCCAACTTGGTTTTTATAGGTCAGGTATTTTGACCCGACTCGCTTTAATTTGATCCAAGTCGGGTCTGACTTGGATTGGATTTTGTTCAACTAGTTCAGAACCAGTTTGGATCTGACCTGACTTGGTTTATGAACTGGGTCAAATCTGACCTGACCCGTTTTTGACTTTGTTTTCTCACAAAATTTTGTCGAAGTTTTTACGTTGCAAAAGACGAAAATTTCGTCACAAAATTATTTTTTCGTCGAAATTTTTACAAAATTTTTTTTTCTATTGAAATTTAGTTTCCGTCAACAGTTTTGACGAAAATGATTTCTTCCATCAAATGTTTTAAATGAAAAAAGAATTTTGTCAAAAAATTTGACGGAATGTTTTTCGTTCAAAATTTCGATAGGAATGTGTTCTGACGAAAATTATTTCGAGAGAAATGTTTCATTTGAAGCTTTCGACGAAATTTAGATTCTCTAAAGAATTTTGACAGAATATTTTTTTCGTCAAAATGTTTTTTTTGTCAAAAAAATTTACCGAATTTTTTTGTAGAAATGTGTTTCGTTGAAAATTTTGATGTAAATTTTTTATCAAAAAACTTGACGAAAATATTTAGTTGAAAATTTTCGATGGAAATATGTTTCTATAAAAATTTTGACGAAATTTTTTTTTGTCAAAAAATTTAACGAAAATTTTCGCCGAAATTTGAAATCTATAAAGAATTTTTTTGCCGTCGAAATTTTTGCAGTCAATATTTTTTGATGACGAAAATGTTTCCGTCAGAAACTTTCGCCAAAATTTGAAATCTGTAAAGAATTTTGATGAAATTTTTTGCCGTCAAAATTTTTTGATGAGGAAAATATTTTCGTCGAAAACTTTCGCCGAAATTTGAAATCTGTAAAGAATTTTAATGAAATTTTTTGATGGAAATGTGTTTCATCGAAATTTTCAATGAAAATTGTTTTGAGGAAAATGTTTCATTTGAAACCTTTGACGAAATTGAGATTCTCTAAAGAATTTAGACAAAATATTTTTTCTGTCAAAATTTCTTATCCAGATATTTTTGTCAAAAAATTTTACGAATTTTTTTTACAGAAATGTGTTCCGTTGAAAATTTTGATGGATATATTCTTTATCAAAAAACTTGACGAAAATATTTAGTCGAAAATTTTTGATAGAAATGTGTTTTACTAAAAATTTCGACGAAATTTTTTTTGTCAAAAAGTTTAACGAAAATGTTTCCGTTGAAATCTTTCGCCGAAATTTGAAATCTGTAAAGAATTTTAATGAAATTTTTTTTCGTCAAAGAATTTCGATGAAAATGTGTTTCGTCGAAAGTTTTTATGAATATATTTTTTTGTGAAATATTTTGACGCAATTTAGATTCCGTAAAAAAATTTGACAAAAAAAGTATTCCGTCAAATTTTTTTACCGATATGTTTTTAGTCACAAATTTTGATGAAAATATTTATCCTCAAAAGTTTTTGGGAAAATTTTTATGAAAATATTTTCCATAAAAAATTTTGACGTAATTGTTTTACGTTAAAACTTTTCTTTTAATGTAATTGTGATTTTTTTCACATAATGGGTATGGGTCAAGTTTTGGGTCAGTGGGTCAATATTAAAACGAGTCAGGTCTAAAACTGACCCAAATAAAAGTGGGTCAGTATTTAAACCAGTCCAAAAAATATGGGTATTTATGGGTCGGGTCAAGGGCAGGGCAAGTGAACCAGTTTTTGCACACCCCTAATTAAAGCAATTACTTCATTTACATCTCATCTTTGGTGTCTAAACTGCCAATTCCACATAATCAGAATACATAACTTACTAAGTTGAATAACATCCAGAGCTATACAATGCAAATCAAGGCAAAGACTGCCATTTCCAAAACTAAATGATCACTGAAATAACGTTGGAGGAGAAAATGGTAAAGTAGTTGATTGAAAAAAAAATTATATTTCCATTTTTATAGAAGTTATATACAATTAAAGTTATTTAAGTTTTTCATTCTTTGATGCAATTGTTTAGGAAAATAACGTTGAAGTCATAGTTTTGAGTAGTCCAGAAGAAACTCAAAGATTGAAGGCTCAAGGATTGTAAAAAATGAATCACCTTAGATTGCTCATACTACGTGGTGTGAAATTTTCAGGCAGCCTCAAATGTTTTTCTAATAAATTGCAATATATTGAGTGGGATGAATATCCTTTCAAGTATTTGCCATCAAGTTTTCAACCGGAGGATCCTGTTCATTTGATCTTGAAGTTTAGTAGCATCAAACAATTATGGGTAGGAAAGAAGGTACTATAAATTCTCTTTTTCATTTTGCATTAAGATATATAAATTGTTTATCCAATTTTTTGTTTTGAAGGTAAATTAGGAAAGAAAAAAAAAGTAATTATATATCTTCATTCCCGTTGGTCTTTACAGTATATGCCCAATTTGATAAGACTGGATCTTAGCCATTCCAAAAATCTAATAAAGATGCCAAATTTTGGAGAGGTCCCAAATCTTGAGAAGCTGAATCTTGAAGGATGTATAAGACTTGTGGAGATCGATCCATCCATTGGTCTTCTAAGAAAGCTTACTGTTTTGAATTTGACAGACTGCAAAAATCTAGTAAGTATACCCAACAACATTGTGGGTCTCACTTCTCTTCGATCTCTATATCTAACGGAGCATTTGAAGAAGTTTGATATAAGTAGTAAAACAGCCATGCACTCCCAATCAACATACTCCAGCTCCATCTTCAAAAGGTTTTTGTTCCCTTTCCGTTCATTGTATTCTCCAACACTTAAAGATTCAGCTACTTGTTTGTTGCCTTCCTTGCCTAGCTTCTCTAGTATGACAGTTCTTGATCTAAGTTTCTGCGATTTGCATCAACTCCCTGATGGTATTGGAAGTTTACATAGCTTAGTATCGCTTAGTTTAGAGGGAAACAAGTTTGTTACACTGACTTGTAGCCTGAAGGAGCTTTCAAGACTTCTTTTATTAAGATTGTCGCACTGCAAGCAGTTGAAATCTTTGCCTGAGCTCCCTTCACGTACGGACATACATGAGCAGTTGAGAATCCGAGAGTTATATGCTTTCAACTGCCCAAATTTGGAAGAGAGGGAAAGCCGCAGTACCATGATTTTTCCATGGATGACACAAGTCATTGAGGTTCACACTCTTTTCCTTCCTTCCTTCCTTCTCACATCTCTCTCTCTCCCTCTCTCTATCTTTATGTGTTTGTTTGAACAATGAACTAAGATATAGCTTTGTTTATGGTATCAGGCAAGGCAGACACCACCTGGGGGCATTTGTTGGATTGATATTGTTATTCCGGGAAGTGAAATACCAAAGTGGTTCAACAATCAGAGTGTGGGTAGTTCAATAAGAATAGACCCATTTCCCATTATGCATCAAAATAATTGGATTGGCATTGCTTGTTGTGCAGTGTTTGTGTCACGTTATGATCCAATTACTTTGACAAATGAACAGATGCCCCTTTTAGGAAAATCCTGCCCATATGTATGTGTGTGTGGCTTCACTGTATACTAATACATACCCTTACACCTGTTATAATGACCCTAAATGGTAAATCTTAATTAGAGATTTAATTTAAGGATTTAAATGCCATAATTAGATTCAGTGAGTGATTCCGAGTATTTTGACTGTAATCATGACTATGTTATGAACAGTGCGTTCTGCCGGAGAATTTACAGTTTTGTGAATTAACCGATAGAGCTTAAAAGAGAAAAATAATTTTAGAGACAAAATTTGATAATTCTGACGATAAATATGAGTTCAGAACGAAAAATTGTATAGTCTGGCACTTTCCGTGAAAATCTCGTGATTCATAGTGCATTTCGTCAAAAACGGTGCAAAAATAAGAAAGTCCAATATATGCCAAGCAAGTCAATATAGGCTCAAGAAAATGATAAGTTTATAAGTTTTAAGTTTCATAAGTAAATGAAGTACAATTAGTGATTCACAGTGCATTTCGTCAAAAACGGTGCAAAAATCATACTGTGAATTATGAATATTTTTTTGTAAGAAATAAAAATTAATGTAAATGATTTTAGAGAAAAAAAAATATGTCTGTAACTTTAAGTTGGTTCCGGGTCAATTTAAGTTAAAATACGCGATAGAAAAACAACCGGTTAAAAAGCCACATGTGCTTAAAAACCCCTAAGTCACTTAAATTCACTATTCCCTCACACTTTCTCTCTCCCTTTTCCCTTCCCCACCCGCGGAAGCCATGGCAAAAGGAAGCTTAGGGTTTGTTTTTCTTTGATTTCTCCATGATTAAGCAACCAAATCTTCTACCCGTTATACCAATCTCATAGGAAATCATCCAAGGAAGCTATTCCAACCCTCCATTTGAGCTGATTTCGTTTATGGAGGGAGATATTTGTCATCTCATTTTCGGAGCACTATTCATCCAACGTAAAAAAAGGGGATTTTTGGTGGAGACTTGCTTGGAGGTTACCTTCTTGACCTTGTATAAGCTTTTGGAGGTAATGAACCTCTATTTCCATAGTAGTATCTTGATGATTTATGTTATAAAAGTTATGATTATGTTTTAGTGGCAAAGAATTGGGTGTGAAACTTTGATTAGATGATGAATCTTGGTTGTTTTGGATTTAGGAAATGAAAATGAGCATTTGTATGTATATAAAAAAATTAGAGAAAAATCATATACCTTTCTCTCTATGTTTCGGCCTTAATAGGGTCCATTGTGCAAATTTTAGTTGATGTATTAAGAGGATTTATTGTGTTGGAGTAAGTATGAAATTAGGAAGAAGGCCTAAAAGGAAAAATCCTATAAATACTTGCCCTTATGCTTCGGCCTTGGGGGCTTTAGAGGAGCTTGTCATGACAAAATTAATTGAGACTTGATTGAACATATATATTTATGTATGTGTAGTTGCTAATTAAGGGAAAAAATAATAATTAAAAAGAAAAGAACCCTTTTGCCTATTGTCCTTGTGGAGTTCGACCTATAGGGTGGCTTAGGAATATATTTTGTTACATTTTATTTTAATAAAATGTGTTGTAATGTATTGTATAAAATTGATGAGTTAAGAAGTGAAATGGCTTGAATAAGGGTTGAAAAATACATTAAGTTCCTAAAGGTAGGTTCACGGCCTTTTAGAGAAAATGGCATGAATTATGTTGAAAGTTCTCAAGTGAACACTTGATTAAATTAAGGAAATCCTAACAAGTATAAGGTGGTTTAGACTTGTGTATTGGCATAACATTGGCAAAAACATAAAGAAACGAAAAGAAAAATGTATGCCTTATGTGAAAGCTAGACATGATGGCATTTTATTAATTTGTATTTGTGGATTCTTGCTCTAGGTGTACCTAAGGACTGAAAAGGATCAAAATCTCTTGAAGATATAAAAGTAACTTGTGTCACAAGTAAGCAGATTGATAAAGCTTCAAGAGGTAAGCTCTATGTTTAAGGAGTCTTTTCCTACTTGAGTGCTCCACCATAGTTAGTGAACTGTTGTTGGATTGTATGACTGTTTTGATGCTTTGTATAGATGCATTCATATAGAGCTATTTGATAACATGATATGTTTTGTTCTGATATGACTTCTGTAAGATGATTTCTGTAATAATCTCTGGCCATTGATTGTATAGTACCCTGATGTCCGCTTTGGGGTCCTCCCTCGGGACTAATGGTGTACGCCTCTGATATGTCTGGTTCCGCTTTGGGGTCCTCCCTCGGGAACACGTGCGTTGATTTCCGCTTGGGGTCCTCCCTTGGGAATGACGACACACATCTCTGATATGATATGGATATATGCTCTGTTCTGTTATGATATCTGTTATATGTTGTATTCGTATACTTTGTATCTGACTTTCATGCAGGAGTGAGCCAGGGGTATGGAGAATTCTCTATAAACCTGGAGCTTATTGAGATTTGTAATCTCACCCCTCGTTAGGGCCATATTTTCAGGTGCCCAGATCCCCGGTGAGACTTCTCTAGTCAGGGACGCGACACGTGGCTGAGGATTTGGACGGATTGGATTTTGAGTAGCTGTAGACTACTTTTATTTTGGAGTATAGTACCTTCATTTAGTATTTCCGTATTTTGTGGATCATGATGTTAGATCCTATATTTTGTATGTGGCCTTTATATGTTTTGTACATGTCTGTCAGTTTGATGCATGTACATTTGAGTATTCAGGCACATTATATGATGATGTAGTATTCAGATAGGTTTACGTTTTGATGGCATGTTGTTAGATATAGTGGCACGGAGCCATGTTATGCATGCGCCCATGTGTGGGTATTTGATTATATTTGGATACCTGGTATTTCTGAATTGATATGTTGTATAAACTGTTTATCAGGAAATGTTTCTGAGTGGAATTGGAAAATTCCCAGTTGTCCGATTTATAGAGGAAACTCTGCCCGATTTTCGTTTACGCCGAGTAAGAATTAAGTTAGAAAAAGAAAAAGTTAGCTCGTATTTTTGTATGTTAAGTCTTCCGCTGTTTCTGTTTATATCATGTGTATGTTAATTGAACCGGCTCGAGACGGGGATGTTACACCTGTCAATGTTTCTTAAAACAAAATTGAAAATTTTGACATTAAGGCCATGTTTTGTGCATGGTATAAGACAAGACCTGATTATATAAGACCTGGATAAATTTTAATACTATCCAGCATTTAGCATGACATAGTATAAGATAATGTATTGTATAAGGGGAAAAAGGTATCTAAAGTTACTTTAAAAAATTGCCTAATGTTCATCGAAATGACATTGTTTTGGAGTTGAAATACAATCAGATCAAAGTTCCAAATCTACTCTTTTTATATGTAGGCTAAATGTTATATGTTATATGTTTTTAAAATTATACTTTACAATAGTCACATAAAATAACTAAAAATATCATAATATATAATTAAATTTATATTATCAGATTTTATATATCAGACCAAACATGTCCAAATAAATGTAAGAATAACGTAAGGTGCACTTGAGTGTGAAGCTTTGTATAAGTCCTACCGAGTAGACAAGAATGTGTTCTAAGAGGTTAATAATAATAATAATAAATATGATATACGTTTACCAAAAATTAAATAAGATATACCGATCTTGTGATTGATAGAATGAGAAATCTATAGATGTTCTATACCTCAATTTTTAACTGCCATTTTTTTTTTTTTTTTACATCACCAAAAATGTAATATTCTCTGTTTATTATCAGATGAATGCTACAAGCAAGGTTTCAAATTTCAAGCATCTCTGCGAGGGATTATATCGTGGAAGCTAGTAATGGAAATCAACCTCGTCCAATACGAGTTATCTATCATTCAACTATTATTTTGTATCATGCCTCGTGAATTGTATCAAATCTTAAAACTCATAAACATGATGAAAAATGATTTATCAATATATAATATCATATAAATTTAAATTCCAAAATAATCCAAATAGCCAAAAACATAAGTAATCAAATTTAAAATAATTATTCTCCTACTCATCAATCATCAAAACTAATATTATGATTATTATTATCAAGCATTGGCATAACTAATTTATCATCTGTTTCATTAGTATAATTATCTAACTCATTTCCAATATCTTGTTCAACAATTGAGGTATTTTTCTCCTATTATTCTTGTTTGTAATGTCATTTCTAATTATCATATTATCTTGTATGATGATGCATCATTTGCTTTTATCATTTTTGTTGGCATTATCTTGTTGGCAAAGTATTTGTTTCTCTAATTAATAGTAACTTTACAGATTTGTTTTTGAATTTAAATCACAAAAATCAGATTGGATCAAATTGTCGTTTCAATTTCCAAATTTGAAATCACAAATTTTGGGATGAATTTTTAATCGAAATTGTGATACGATATACAATATTATACATGATAATTTCCATACAAGTTGTCGATTCATATCACTTAGCTTTCGTATCGAATTGCACGATACATATCACTTAAGTGGGATTTAATTTTTGCGCTATAGCTCTCAACGTTTAGGATAACAAATAAAGGGTTCTAGCCTTGTGGGCAATGTGATCAAATGTAAAGCTTAAAGTTCACTCTTAATTCTGCCTCAATAAGGATGCTCATGTATTATGTAACTCCAGAACCTTGTTCTGTTCCGGTAAACATTCTTATAGCCTTTTTCTTTCAGTTTTGATAGGCATTTTATACATATAATCCATGCGTACCATGATATCATATCTTAAGTGAAACACTCCTGGCAAAACCGGCAAATACAAGTGAAGGAGTTACAAGGAAGACAACCTGCAAAACGGAAAAACAAAAACAAAAACAAAAACAAAAAAAGAAAAGGTTACCATTAGATTAGAATCATGCAGAGTTTGTATTGTATTTGTTGAAAGGAATGGATATATGGGGAAACATTAAACAGGTCTATATTCATTATAATTAATTTAGTTCACATCTCATACCTTGTTCAAGGATTTCGGAAAGTCTGATGAAAGAAGATTATCGAAATACTGAGTTGCCATTAATGCTCCCAACGCACTGATAAGTAGGACTTGAATAACAAGGAAGACAATCACGCATGACATGGATATAACTTTCACATGTCGAGCTGCATCTGGGGCAGATGTTGGAGCTAGATAAATGTCTTTGGTATCTCCTCTGATTGGTAAGTAGGTTGTCTCCAAGGAAAAGCTAGAGGAAGGTCTTGATCTTGGGTGGACCATCCCATTCACAAACTGTATTCCACTGAGGCTGTTGTTGGGGAAAGTCTTCATTACAGAGATTGTTGATGGCAGATTTAAAAGGGAATAGACCATAATGGGAAGAATCCCAAATCACCTGGCCCTCTCTATCATCCGGCTGAGGTGGGCAAGTACCTGCAATAAAATTTAAGGCTTCATGTGTTAGGATACTTTGGAACTCTTGCCACTTCCATTCACCTTGATGGTTTACCATTTGGGCTACGACGACACATTGGGACTCTAGAGGGATGGCTTGGGTAGTATAATTAATAAGAGGACCAATAGCCAACCACTTGTCATTCCAAAATGAGCTCCCAGCTCCATTTCCTATCATAATTCTCGACCCTTCATAAACATTGGGCCAAACCCGAGAGAGACCAAGCCAGAGGTTGGAACTACCAGTTCTTTTTTTAATGTTAGGCAACAAACTCTCCTCCACTTTGTATTTATTTTTCAGAACCCTCACCCAGAGGTCATTCTTATGGGTTAAAATCCTATGGCCAATCTTCATAAGATAAGCTTTGTTAGTCTTTCTCAAACTTCTAATCCCCAGACTACCATCTTCGTTTGCCCTACAAACAGTACTCCACGGCAAGGCATGGACTTTCCTAGATTCCTGACTGGAACCCCACAGAAAGCCTCTAATTTTTTGCTCTACTTCATCACAATTTCCAAGGGGAATGAGAGAGGTTTGCATAGAAATGTAGGCAGGGATGCAAGGACAGCTTTAGTGAGAACAACCCTTCCTGCCATAGATAATGATTTAGCTTTCAACGCACTGAGCTTGCTGTTGGTCTTGTCAATAATATGCCTGAAGGTATTGCTATTGACTCTTTTGTGCAAGATAGGAATCCCCAAGTATTTTCCTAGATCAGCAATAGGAGTAAAGTTCATGATCTGACAAAGCTCATTCCTCTTAACATAGTTCACATTATTGGAGATAAAGCACCTCGTTTTGTTGTTGCTAATTTTCTGCCCGGAAACACTACAAAAGTGGCTTAGAACATCTGAGATCAGATTTGCTTGGTCACTTCAAGCTTCCGTGAAGAGAAGAAGGTCATCCGCGAAAAATAAATGAGAGAAAGGGGGACCTTTTTTGCCCAGCTTAATGGGTCTCCAATTCTTATGAGATACTGCTGCACTAATGATATGGCCAAGTCCCTCTATGCAAAGCACAAAAAGATAGGGGAAAATAGGGTCTCCTTGCCTAATCCCTCTGGTTGGGGCAAATTCTTCCATTTGGGCACCATTCCAAAGAAGATTCATGGTGGAAGAGGTTACACAAGCCATAATTAGATCCACCATAGAGGTAGGCATCCCAGCTACTTGGAGGGTGTCCTTGAGGAAATCCCAACTCACTCTATCATACGCTTTCTCCAGATCCACCTTAATGGCCATCAACCCTTTCTTTGACCTCATAGAGTGGAATATCTCCTGTCTAATAATAATGTTATCTGAAGCATGTCTCCCCTTCACAAAACTGCACTGATTGGGCATAATAAGTTCACTCATGTGGTTCTTTAGCCGAGATGCAACAACTTTGGTGATTACCTTGTAGATGACATTACAAAGGCATATGGGCCTGAACTGACTTATAGACTCCGGATTATCAATCTTACGGATTAAGCAAATCAGGGTTTGGTTAATACCTGCCACTTTCTTGGGGTCACTAAAGATTTCCTTAATAAGTTTGAACACAGAGTTTCCCACTCTATCCCATTGGGACTGAAAGAAAACCGCATGCAATCCATCCACTCCCGGAGCTTTAAAAGGGTTCATACTGAAAACTATGTTTTTGACTTTAGCTTGATCAGAGGCAGATCCAAACTTCCTCCATTTTTGACTTTCTAGAGCAGGAAATAAGTCTCCAATACATAAAGTAGGAAAATTTTGGGTCTCCTCGGCATACAGGGTTTTAAAATAATTAATGGCTAAGGACTTGAGCTCATCTGGTTCATCCACCCAAACACCCTCCTTATTCTTCAAGGATTTAATCTTATTTCTTCTAGTGCGGGCAACAGTGGCAAAATGGAAGTATTTGGAATTCCTATCACCAAAAGCCATCTAATTACACCTGGACCTTTGAAACCAAGTTATCTCTTCTTGGATATAGATAGCATTCAAATCATGCCATAGAGACCTGTGGAGTCTCTCAAGGGATTCATCTGGGGCCCTGCACAGCTGCTCATCAACCCCACTAAGCCTTCTCTGGATCTGTCTTTTCTTTTTCTGGGCTTCCTTTAAGCTACTTTGGTGCCAGAGAGTAGCTTCCTGATGGAATTTATCAATCACAGGGATCCACTCCATATTGTTCTTCCAGCAATCTTCTACAACCTCCCTGAAGCTTTCATTTGTCAGCCAAGCAGCAAGGAACCGAAAAGGTTTGGGACCCACAGGAGGGACAACCAAGGATTCATCTCTCAGAAGAATAGTCCTGTGGTCAGAACCATAAAACAGCAAATGGTACACAGACCTATTAGGAAAGCCCAAGTGCCATGCCTCATTAACCACTAGTCTGTCAATTCTTTCTTGAAGACAGTCCCTTTTCCAAGTGAAGCTGGGACCAGAGAAGCCCAGATCATAGAGATTACAATCACTCAAACAAAAAGAGAACTCCTGAATATTATTACAGCACACACCAGGCCCTCCTTGTTTCTCCCCTTCCTCCAGAATAGCGTTGAAATCACCCATAACAGCCCAGTTCTCCACTCCATTCTCTCCAATTCTCCTCAGGTCATCCCACAGCTTTCTTCTCTCAATTCTCCTAGGACTACCATAGACAAAAGTGAAATGCTCCTCCTTGGCCTCACCTAACCAATTCAGTTTGGAATGCACAAACTGATGGTTATCCTCCAAGATGTTCACAGAGGTAATATTTTTGTTCCAAAGAATCCAGATGCCTCCTGAGAATCCCACAGCTTCTCTTCTGAAAAAACTATCAAAGCCCAAACTTCTTATAACACTATCAACTTTCTTGCCACTAATTCTGGTTTCTATCAAAGCTAGGACTTGAATCTTATTTTGGTAGACGAGGTCTTTAATAAGGGTGGAGAACCCTTTTTTCCCCACACCTCTGCAGTTCCAGGTGCACACTATCATAAAAGATAAGTGAATAAGAACAAGGGGCTACTGGTCTCAGTTAAACCAAAGCATTGGTTTTCCTCTCTCCATCAACATTTGTGATATCATCCAACACCATGGAAACTCTTCCCTCTAGGTCTGTCAACTTACCTTTGCCACTGTCATCTGGGGGATTCTCTTTGATAGTAGGGATAGAACCTGACTCGGATCCAGTCCCCATATTTTTCAAGTTGCTACAATCTTGCGAGCTAACCGTGGGCACTGTCCTCAAAGAGGAAGCCCCTTTCGTCCTCCCTTTGCTATTGTTTCTGTTAAAAAAAATTTCCTCCCAGCTCGAAGACTTATACTTGGGCATCCTAGAGTGGTCTTGGGGGGGGTAGAAGGGGACTGTCTCTGCTTTTCAGGGGTTCTAAAATCTGGAACTGGCACCTATTTTGGGCCTGTACTGTCAGCACTAGCCTTTTTCCTTCTAAAGTCTGGGCTTCCTTTTGGATGACTATTCTCAATAGAGAAATTCAGGTTCCTACTTTCTGGACCTGTGGGGGATGGTTTTTGGCCTGGGGTAGCTTCCTCCCTCTCCTCCCCTAAAGGGCCAAATCTTGAGCCAGAAGCTTGGTTTCTCTGTCTATGCCCATAGTGTTCTCCTCCGGATTTCTCCTATGCTCCTTAGATTTCGGGTTTGTACTCATTATCTTGTTATTTCTCCTCTGTACAGTCATCCGATTACCAAAGCCATCCTCCTCTTGGCTTTTCTCAACCTCTCCTGTGGTATTGCTCTCACCATGACCAAGGCTAGTGTGATGAAAAATTGAGGCTTCCCTTGTTACTTCCTCAAATTTCTTATTATTTACAGGATTAATCAGACACTGATCCTTCCTATGACCATATTGACCACAGAAAAAACATATAAGGTGTAGACCTTCGTAACCTATATACAGTTGCCTTTGCCCAATTCTAAATTTAGACAGTAAACATTTGCTTAAATATACTTCAACACAAATACGGGCGAACCTACCTCGATCTGTTACCTCCTCGTGTTGTCCTGAATTTCAAGTCCTCAAGGGGTTTTCATCAATTCTTAGGATACGCCCCACCATGTTACCCATTCTCCATAAGTCCTTGTATGTATAGAACTCCCGCTGGACCCCCAGGATCCTAATCCACACTGCCAACTTCTTCACTTTGTCATCATAAAGGTCGAAATTGGGTCTCCATCGCTGAACTATGAGGCAATGGTCAGCTATTATCCATGGTCCCTATTGCTGAACAAAGAGGTAATCATGAGATTTCTTGAACTCGACCATGTAATGGTCGTTCTCCAAATCCAAGACCTTTCCTTCAAGGTTCCACAACTTGCGTAGTCTACTCCAGAGAAATTTTGACTCGATTCTTTTCCCCATGAGTTTCACTATCAGAGATTGACGCCATTTTTTGCATTGTTCCAGCTTCTCCAAAACGTCAAACTGGAAGAAGGGGTCTAGTGGATCGTCTTCCCCCGTTTGCTCGTATGTTCTCATTGCATCTTTTTCCTTGTCCTCGTCCCTCTTACATTGGGCCAACCAGTCATCTTCTTCATCACCCTGGACCCCATCCCACACTCCATTGACCCGGATTAGTTGGTCTTTATTGGAAACCAGTTTGCGGGTGTAACACCCCGTATATATCCTGTAATGTTATCATACTATTGTATTAAGCAGCGCTTAATTAAAAATGCGGAATATTTTTTTATTTTCAATTATGATGTCATTATCATTACCAACTTGCTTATTAATCAATTAATAAAACATCGCCTGTATGTAGTTGCAATAAAACAGCTAACTGAAATACCTCATAACATAGATAATAAAAGTGTGTCTCTAGAAATCACGGAACTACCACAAGTAGGCCGGGCCAACTAGCAGGTTATACAACTCCAATCTAAAAGTACTAACATAAAGTGTCATGGACAATCCCCATGCTCACTCAAATAAGGCAACAAGCCCAACATCAGTCTCAACAACAACATAATCATAAATAGCGGGAAACATAAACAACATCCAAATCCAGTCATGGCAGCAATATAACATAATATCATAATCAGCTAAGCTCTGGCCTCCTGCCGCCAGAGGCATCAGTCACCATACTACCTGAACCTGAAATAAGCATTCCCCAAACGTGGGGTGAGATCTCTAAACAAGAAATCTCAGTAAGACAAGGGGTCCTCAAGGATCTTCCACCCCAAGCTCACTTACATGTGCAATATAAGTTTAAAAGCAGTTCATCAATATCATTTCTAAAACAGTGCAATGCAGCATTTAATCATGTCATGTGTGTCAATTCTATTCTACTGGCCAGAGAAATGCAGGAATACGTATACGTCTATTACCCACAATTAGTGCAAGACGCCACTTGCATTCACCCCGGATCACCATATCGTATGACGCCACATACTCAGGCTTACCGTCAAGATGAAATAACACATGCATATTAAAAGCCATTACACATAAAGCTCAACAACATTTCAAATATTCAAAGCATGTAACACAACATGCATATAACCACACCCCCATGGGACATGGTGGAACCACAACATGGCTAAACCAAGGACACGAAAGCTTACCTTGCAAGCTAACACCCAAGGCCAAGAGTCTACAGCTCAAAATCCAAACACAGCAGATTCACAATCTGTTATGGACCAACAATATATCAATAACATGCACCGCAAGCATACAATATTAAGACAACGCCTTTCCATTACGTTTTACGTCTTAAGGCTCCATACCAAGCCATAAGCCCTTAATCACTTGATTCTGACTTAGTTCATTAATTACAGAAGTTCAACTTCATCAATCTAGGGTCCATAAACCCCCAATAGCCTACTGTACACACAACACAGCTACTGTTCTACAAAATCCCAGAATATCCGGATATTCCACGGGGCATATTCGGATATGCAATATCCGGATATCTCACTGACCATATCCGGATATACAATATCCGGATATTCAGATTCCCATATCCGGATATCCAATATCCGGATATCCAAATCCCATATCCGGATATCACATATCCGGATATTTCTCGGGCACATATCCGGATATTTCACGACAGAATGCAGAAACTGCATTTCGTGAAGATATCCTTCCAAGGTTCCATTTTTAACACTTTCAAACGTTAAAGCATACATCTTTATACTGTTTAAGGGTCATACCACTGTTGGTTACTTGTTTAACTCTTTAAGCATGCAAAGACACTTCTTTTATTCAACAAAACACATGATCAAGGTTGATACAACTCACCAAAGCTCAAAACAGAGGAAGAAATGCTCTTGGAGCTCTCAAATTTGCCTCTACAGGTCTGACCTTCAAGGCACACGAAAATGACTTCACAAAGGTTGGTTCTTTCTCACCAAATATCACCACTTGGACCTCAAAGTGCCATAACCAAGGTTCACAACACTCAACTCACAAACTCAGAACCTCTCCACCTCACTCACAGTGACAAGAACTCAGAAAAGCCCTCACACTCCCACACCAAACAAGCTCTCACAAGCCTCAAGGTATTTGGAGAAGAAACCAAGGAAAAAGGAAGCTCCTTGGCTCACCACAATGGAGGAGAAGGTGGCAAAGGGTGGTTGGAGGTGTTTCAGAACATGGAGGCACGTAGGAAATCTGGTCTAGGGTTTTGTGCCCAATGGTTAGATTATATATAGCCACTTTCAATTAAAACACACAGTATTCACTTTAATTGCTACGTTTAACATTTTAATCCCAAACTCTGGATTCTTAACCTACTCAATTTTAGAAGAATTATCACATTTTTCTTATAATTTTCAGAGTACCTTTCCGGTACGTGCTTTTCAAAGCCAGTACCGATTTCTAGCACCAGTTCTCATTATTTGGACTTGAAACTCGTTTTACAAGTCCTACATATTATTCTAGTAATTATCATGCACTTATTATAATTTTCTGGGATACTTTTTGGGTACGTATTTATACTGATTAGCAGAACCGGTATCTGCACTTTTCTTCCGAAAAGCGACTTTCAGCATTCTTAATCACTTACTATAATTATTAAAGCCTCATAATAATTATTAGGGTCAATTATGAAATCATTTTTTATTTTCTCATAATTTATTAATTAAATTCCTTAATTAACGGCCTGAATTCTCACCGCCAGAGTCCCTGCCAGGCTCTTCAGTCGACTCCACTGCTGCATCCATCACTTCAACCTCAATATTAGGCTCCCCTCTCTCAACTTCAACTTCCATTGTGCCCACAATCGGAGATCCTTCCTGCATTTTGAGGTCCACCATCGCTTCGCTTTTTTGTTCTCCCTGGTATTGATTTCATCGCCCTCAGTGGTTGGGGGCCTTCCCCTTTTTCCACCATAAAAAATGCAAAAAACCCTAGCAGAGTTTAAAAACGGATTTTCACGCGCGCACACGCCCCTCACTAAAATGGTCTACTATTTTTTGTCTGTTATTTCTTGAAACATGTTAGAATATGAATTTGTTGTAGTTGTTATTTGAATTTCCTTTACAGTTTTGAATTTGTTGAGGAAGATTTAAGTTTATTGATGTTGTAGACTTAAAAAAAAAAAAATCAATGGGAGGGATTAGGGATGAGGACGACCGAGGAGCGGGTAGGTACATACTCCCACCATCATGCAGGTGTCATCTTTAATCTGATGTATTAGCTGGATAAAAACAATGTCTTTTTACTTTTTGTTGTTCCAAAAGCTTCTTAATTCTAGAATATTTTGCAGCACGCGTTCTAATAAAAGTCGTGACACGGCACACTTTCGTCTTCTATTCAACAGGGAACGGAAAAGATTCTTTTTCTTTTTCTTTTCTAAATAGATAAATAAATAAAGGTTGAAGAAAAAAGCAGTTTTTGGTAGTATAGGAACGTTACCGGAAATGAGGTGCAGTTGATACGTGTATACTATTCACGTAAAGAGGTTCTCGGATATTTTTCTAAAACGTGTATCTATATTTAAACTTTTCCCAGTCAATTGTGGTCCGCTGCTTCCCTGAATCTCTTTAAACTTAAAATAAATTAAAAGTTTTTTTTTCCTTTGCTAACAAAGACCATATGGAATTACTGGTCTAAAGTGGTATGAATTTAGTGGGTATTTGGTAGAAATTTTTTTTTTTGGCCCGAAAATTTTAATTATTAAGAATATATTGAAAAAGTAAATTTTTCAAAAATATGACCAAAATATTGTTTGGTATGCAAACATAGTACTAAAAATATTGGCTCAAGTTTACTGATTTTATATTCGATTGATTGTTAAATACAATTTGTTCACAAATTTCAATCTCAAAATTATTAAATTCCCAAGAAAAATTTAAAGAATCTTCTACCAAACATAAGTAAATAAAATTCTCAATGCCAATTTTTCGAGAATTCAAAAATAATACATGTAGCAAACGTCCCTGAGCTTTTAATTAGTTGCAAGAAGGATTTTCTTTATTCCTTTCTAAACTTCAACTGAAAGCATGCCCACATCTTAAAATGAAAATTATTCGGTTGGGGGATTAGTCTCGTCCTTTCTCCGGTTGCGAAGCTTAGTGCATCCACTGTTACAATGAGGGGCTAGCCCAAACGGGCCGTACCCCGAGGGCATGGTACCCGGAGAAGGTTGAATAAGGATACCTCTTGGCAATGTACCAAAAAAAAAAATGAAAATTATTACGTAAAATAATTGTCCTTTATTATTATTATTGATGAAATATTTATTTTGACCCTCCAAAAATACAGGTGGCATCACTTTAGTTCTCTCAAAGACATTTTTTAGCCCCTTCATAATGAAAATTGACATCACAAGCATCCTTCCGAAGATAGATCAGAAGGACATGGAATAGTTAATGCAGCCTTTTGACTTATAACGAAATTGATGTTTTTTTGTTTTTTCATCGAAGAATTAAATTGAGTATTTACTCCGTCCTAAAGTACATATTTTTTAAGATGTGTTTTGACTCAGCTTCCTTTCCGACCTTGGGCAACATTTACATCTTTTTTCCCTATAATTTTAAAACTTAAAGTGCAAGATAATCATTGACCTTGAACTCAATGGGTATCGGCCAAACTTTTTAAGATTATATGATGATATTGGAAGTTTGATTAAATTTCCATATGTATCTTTTTTTTATACAGAAAGTGAGTATTCATTCATTTTAAATATGGGGCAATTATATTTACCATCAATTTAGGGTTACCATAGATCAATCCTAAATCTACCTCTACCTATTTTCTCACCTGATATTCATTCTGTAACCGTTGACTTAAAATTATTCTAACGGTAACCAAACTGATAATAAAAATAATCACCCCAAATTGGTGGCAACTGTTAAAGTATAATCCACGCCTTTCACATATAGTTAAAAAGTCACCTGGGTTATCAACAAAAGTCGCAAAGGGTTTGCAATGAGTGTGCACACGGATGTTTGCTTGAATATTAAAGTGTGAGCCATTAATTAGTTATTCTGATAAAGAAGACTAATCTCCTTTTGATTACAATACTCATAATGATCGGCCATAAATGACAGAGTGTCACGTTCTATGTTCTGAAAACGGTAAATATTGCATGATTTTTAACCAACTCACTCCTGATCAGAACTTCGCTTACTTGCGCATATATGCACAAGGCAATGAAGATTGGCTAGTGTGGGTTGCTAATAGAGATCAACCTGTTGACCAGGATTCAGCAGTTTTATTGTTGGACCACTATGGGGTACTAAAAATAGAATCCAAAGATGGGGATCCAATAATCCTTTACTCTTCACCTCAACCAGTCAACAACACTATGGCTACCTTGTTGAATACGGGCAACTTCGTGCTTCAACAACTTCACCCCAATGGGACAAAGACTGTGTTATGGCAAAGTTTTGATCATCCCACTGACACCTTGATTCCTGGGATGAAGTTAGGTGTTAATCTCAAAACTGGTCATAATTGGTCACTGGTTTCATGGTTCACTGATAACATCCCATCTTCTGGACCGTTCAGGCTTGAATGGGAACCAAGAAGAAGAGAATTGATCATCAGGCGAGGAGCACAAGTCTACTGGACAAGTAAAGAACTGGGAAACAATAGATTCGAGCACATTTCGGGGGAATTCCAGTACGATATTGTCTCAAACGAGAATGAAGAATACTTCACATTGACAACTGGAAATGAAGAGCATACAATATGGACGCTTCTAGGAACTGGTCAGTTGATGAACAGGAAAGGAAATGATATTGCAAGGGCTGATAAGTGTTATGGGTATAATGATGATGGAGGATGCCAAAAATGGGAGAAGATACCCACTTGTAGGGATCCTGGTGATGAATTTGACATCAAGGTAGGTTTCCCCCCTTCTACAAATAACAATATCACAAGCTATCAAGCAAATTCGAGTTATGGCCCAAGTGATTGCCAGGCTTTTTGCTGGAGCAACTGTAGCTGCGTTGGATTCTCAGCATTATATGACAACGGAACCGGTTGTATTTTATGGAATTCTATGGTAGGGATTAGTGTTGCAAGCAGTGGTGGCCAAAAATTTTACGTGAAGGTAAACAATACCCATCGCAAAGGTAAATCTATTATAATTTCACAATTTACTTTACTGCAGGAATTTCGTCTTTTTACTATATATTACAACACAGCCAGATCTAAGAGCATATTGTAAGAAAATAAAATAGAGAGGTAAATAAAACAAATAATTTATCAGGAACTTACCGTTTGACCTGTCTAAACACATATAGCATATTATATCTGATAAAATTGAATAAATTTAGGCTTAAATGACAAATTATTGAAATACATATAATAAATTTATTTTTTAAAGGCCTGACTTAATAAACATATAAAACTAACTTATATTATATTTTTTATTTTAAATAAAATAAAAAATTATTTAAATTATTTCTTGATAGATTGAAAATTGCAGGATAGCCTGATAGGTGCATAGGCCACGAGTCTTTTATTTTTTGAAAATAAAACCGGACTAAACCTATTTCTGGCCTAACGATTAGGAGAGACTAAAAATACTTTGTCTATTTGTAATTTATTTAGACTGAATACTAACCTGTCCGGTCTAGTACCTCTACACATAGGAATTTGTTGGAATATGGTGCACATTGGGGAGAAGAGTTTAAATTCTCTAGGCATGAGAGATGATATTACTCTACCATTTAACTCACGAAAATCATTCCATATCAAATTAATATTCCTCATTCCTCAGTTTGTTTCTTCTACTCACTAAAGAATTAATAGTTTACTTCAATCACATACCCGTATTTGATTAATAGAGGATAGTTTTTAAAATTTTCATGATTAATCTAGTCAGACTTGATCACCCTTGATTTCACATAATCTTTACAGGCTCCAATCTCTATATAGAAAGCATTTATTTATCACAGCAGCCTGTTGTACTATTGAAAGATGAAACAAACTACAAAAGTAATTGTTGGCTTAAATAAATCAAATTCATTATGTAAATATTCTACATTGCAGGTACTAACAAGTGGATCTGGAAAAGTGCTGTGATTGCAACAACCCTTCTCATAATCTGCCATTCCATTCTATTCCTTGCATTAAAGATAAGAAAATACAAACACAAAGGTAGCTACATATTTCACAAAATTGCACAACATTCTTTTCTTTACACAGTCCCTAAATTCTCAATCTTTATATGTCACATTTTCAACTGAACAGAGAAGGATAGAAAAACAACATTGAATTCCAGGACGTTAGATTTAGAAGTGTCCGGTGGATTCTCCAGTGTCACAGATCCAGAAGATGATTTGAACGAGGGACATGATTTAAAAGTATTTAGCTATTCATCTGTAATGGTGGCTACGAATGATTTTTTATCTGAAAATAAATTAGGAGAAGGAGGATTTGGACCAGTTTATAAGGTGACTCGAAACCTTTGAAGCTCTGCATTATGCCATTAACTAGTGTTGTTTAGAAGACTGATCAGTATTTTTTTTTATATTTTTTCTATTGAATCCAGGGAATACTGCCAACAGGGGAAGAAGTTGCTGTGAAGAGACTTTCAAGAACTTCGGGTCAAGGAGTTGTTGAATTTAAAAATGAATTAGCACTCATATCTGAGCTCCAACACACTAATCTCGTTCAGCTACTCGGTCACTGCATACACAAACAAGAGCGGATGTTGGTCTATGAGTATATGCCAAACAAAAGCTTGGACTTCTTTCTATTTGGTGAGAGATGTTAGATTCTGTTTGTGTATTGTTTTGGATATGAAAATCAGTAAAAGAATTCTTCTTGTGCTTCAACTTTTGTGGCCAGCAAAATATCTTTTGGCAAACTCAGAATCTGACTTCTTTTCCAATAGCAAAAAAAAAAAAAAAAACCTCCTCCGTTTTCCTGGATTCAAACCCATGACCTTTCAGTCATGAAAGAATAGATTTACCACTATTCCGGTTCGTCCCTTTTTACTTCTTTTCCAATAGCAAAAAAAAAAAAAAAAAAAAAAAACAGAAAGAATCAATGGTCTTTTATAACATTGACTTGCAGAATATATTAAATTAGTAGTTGTTGTTTCACTGTTGAACTCATCTTTATCTGATCAGCATTTACATTCATGTTTCAATTGAGAAGATTCTACTCAAAGAAACTTGCTAGATTGGGGCAAGCGGTTCAGGATAATAGAAGGAATTGCTCAAGGATTACTATACCTACACAAGTATTCTAGACTCAAAATCATTCACAGAGACTTGAAGGCTAGTAACATTCTTCTAGATGAGAATATGAACCCAAAAATTTCTGATTTTGGTATAGCGAGAATGTTTACCCCACACGAATCTGAAGTGAACACCAACAAGATTGTTGGGACAATGTGAGTCTTACTCATTACTTCTTCCAAATACTGTTAAATGATAGATTGTGTGAACTAAATTTTAATATGTCTGTCATGAATTATTATTATGATTTGCAGTGGATACATGTCTCCAGAGTATCTCATGGAAGGAGTTTTCTCTACTAAGTCTGATATCTACAGCTTTGGGGTGTTACTCCTTGAAATTGTTAGTGGTAGAAAAAACAAAAGCTTCTACACTGATGAACGGCCACTCAATCTAGTAGGACATGTATGTTAAACTATTCTCACTACTCTTGTAATATTTTTTTTTTTTTTTTTTCTCTACTTTGAATAGAAAAGTAATAACTCACAGGCATGGGAGCTATGGAAACAAGGTGAGGTTCTTCAGTTAATGGATCCCGCATTAACCGAATCATTTGTTGAGGATGAAGTGTTAAGATGTGTTCATGCTGGTCTCTTATGCGTTGAAGAAAAAGTAGATGATCGCCCCGACATGTCCAACGTTATATCAATGTTAACAAACAAATGTTCAGTTGGCTCTGAGCCAAAAAGACCGGCATACTATTTTAGAGCAAAGTATTAGAGTAGCATTAATTTGTTAGGATCCTGATTGTAACTATCACGGTTTGTTACCTTGTATATTAAAATAGATTAGCTTGATTTATGCTTTCTGTTCCTTAAGTTTAGCTGATTTCCTGATGTAACCAATTGTAAATCTTGGTCTATATAATAGACCCAATTTAATATATCATCAAGCTGCGAATGACAGCAACTTCTGTTATGGTATCAAGAGCTTGACGATCAACAAGCCTTCATTTTTTTTTTTTTCATCATGACTTCCGCACCTAAAACCTTCAAGGTTTCTGATTTTACACCAGAAGTTCTACAACATCTCATGTCCTTGGCTGTCTCTTCTGCCCCTCCAGTTGATAAACTTACGGGTAAGATTTTACACCCATCTTGGATCATCGACAGTGGTGCATCCCAACACATGACGGGCACACTCTCCTATCTATCCAATGTGCATTCTATTTCTCCTTGTTCTGTGGGACTGCCGAATGGAGTTCATGATATTGCTACGCAATGTGGCAGCATTACTTTGGGCTCTTCTCTTCATCTCTCCAATGTTCTTTATGTCCCTTCGTTGGCTTGTAATTTGATTTCTGTATCTCAGCTTCTGCGCCAGTCTTGCTTGGCATTGTTTGTTAATTCTGTTTGTTTGATACAGGACCTAAAGCAGAAGAGGACGATTGGAACGGGTGTTGAACGAGAAGGGGTGTATATATTGTGTGCATCATCAGCTTCTGCTCATGTTGCCAGTACGTCAGATTCTGCAGCACTATGGCATCGTCGTCTAGGACATCCATCTTCCCGTTATTTATCTTTGTTACCTTTTATTTCCAATGCAAATAATTTGGCTCCTTGTGACGTTTGTTGTAAAGCCAAACAACCACGAAGTCCTTTTCCTATTAATAATAAACGTTGTTTACATTCTTTTGATTTACTTCACTGTGATATATGGGGGCCATATCATATGGCATCTACAACTGGTGCCCGCTATTTTTTAACTGTAGTCGATGATTTTAGTAGACATGTTTGGATTTTTTTGATGCGCAATAAAACTGAAACTTCCACATGTTTACTTCGGTTTCTCCACTTGGTTCGCACCCAATATGATGCATCTGTTAAGCGAATTCAGAGTGATAATGGGACTGAATTTTTGTCATCTGTAGTCCAAGAGGCTCTCTCATCCTACGGTATTCATCATCAATTATCATGCACTTACACCCCACAGCAAAATGGACGCGTTGAACGTCGTCATCGTCACATCCTCAACGTGGCTGCGAATGACAGCAACTTCTGTTACAAAGGTTTTGGAGGAAAAAACGTTGTCTAAAGAAATCGATATGGATTGCATATGCGAAAATTCCCTTTCTCATGTATATTCAATATAGAGGCTTGTAGGAAATTACCAAATCCACCAAATACTTGTTCGTGTCACCGGAGGTCCAATATGTATTGTTATGGATAGTAAGGTTAATGATTTTCGTAATAGACTAATGGTTTGTTATTTTGATTTGATAAAAACAGGTTGCTATTTTGTATGATATGCTAATAGAGCTTCCTAATTTAGTAATATGCATAATGAGTATAACAACCATAATCTGTGATTTTGATAGTTAAAGATTTATTTTGATAATATAAATGTTAGAATTGGACTAACAATGCAATTTCGTGTAATCTAACACTTTTTTGAGAAAAAGTGTGAATAGTGATTTTTAGAGGATAAATTGCACTACTGTGAAGTTTTACCGGTAGAACTCAAAAATGAGAAAATTCAATTTATGTCAAGCAAGTCATTTTAGAACTAAATATATTATATTTATTAAGTTGTGTTTTGGGGTTTAAGTATAAGTGTAAGTAGTGTAAATTAAATAGGTAAAAGATAACCTTTTAATTAATATATATTAAACTTAACCAATAGTATTCTTCCTCCCTCAATTTTGTTCCTCGACACCAGCCTCTGCAGAAAAATAAAAAGAGCTCCATTAAAAAGAGATGACCAAGCTTTCTTCTCCATGATTTAGACATTTTCACGCCTTGCAACCTCCATCGAACTTGTAGCCATTGACCTTGTGAACAAACCCATAAGATTGTTCACCTTGGGAAGCTCTTGGGAAGGAGATTTTAGCCCACTAAACCGCGGGAAAGGAAGCACAGACACTCCAAAAAACAGGGAGTGTCGTGTCCGACACGCTCCGACACGGTGTCCGACACGCGGTCAACATTCCCGACACGTTAATCATTTTGACACGCGAATTTGACTGTGTCCGACACCTTCCGACACGCTCCGACACGGTCAAATGACATTTTCGTAAAAAAAATATTTTTTTAAAATTATTTTTTTAAAAAAATTGTTTTTTTTTTAAAAAAAATTAAAATATATTAATAAAGCTTCCACCTGATCATATCAATTTTATTTTTTTTGTCTTTTTTTCCCTTAAGTAGATAAGAGATCATCTCAGCATCATTGTTGTCATTTCCTATTACGCTCTTGTTGTATCTCTTTCTCTCTGATCTTTGTCTCTAATATGATTTGATCTCTCTATCTGATATTATCTCTCTCTCTCATCCCAGTTCCTATTTTTTTTATTAAAGCTTCTACCTTTATAACGTGCTGATGGGTATTATTAATTTAGTTTTATTTTTTTGTTAAATTATTGAATATTAAATGAAATATACACTATATAATTAAAAATATTATTTAATATTAAAACGTGTCCCAACGTGTCGAAATCCATATTTTTTTAGGATTGAAGTGTCAGAGTGTCACGTGTCGCGTGTCGTATCGGTGCTACATAGACCGCGGGTACTGTTCATGCAAAATTAAAGAGTGTATTTTGATGGTTTCAAGCTTAGAGATGGAAGCTTAGATGCCTAGGAACTCATTTAAGGTATGAAATCCTATTTTAATCGGTTGAATACTTGTGGATGAACTTAAGGTTTTCAAAAATAAAAATAAAAATTGTGAGATGTTAGTATTAGAGCTTGATTTGGACATGACTTATGTGAGAAAGTATACTCATGAGATAAAATGATTGGTGAAAAGTGGTTTAAATAATCATTTTGGTATCTTTCATATTTGGACCAAGAATAACATATTGAAATGTGATGTAAAAATGGTAATTAGATGTGTATGATAAGCTTGAATTTGATGGACTAAAGCATTGGAATCATGAAATTGGCATGGTTTCCTTTATATGCCTCTTAGCTATTTATAAAGGAAGTATGTTTTAAGAGTAACTATTTGTGCTAGTGAGCACTTATACGGTCTAAGGACTATATGATTAGATTTTTAAATATTTGGTTGGGTTAGATAAAAAGAAAAATGAATAAGTTCATTCTTTAGGCCTTATATGTGAATTTGGCCATTTTCAAAGGAGGTATGTGCTAGGAGTTACTGTTTTACAATGCGAGCACACTTTTCTGCGTGGAATAATGTTCTCAGGTGTGTGAACCTTCGCTTTGGTGAAAGACAAAAGAAAATAAGGTAGCTCCTTTGTATGGCCTTAAAATGAGTTTTGGTCATTTTCAAAGGAGGTATACGTTCGGAGATACTGTTTTGGAAAGTGAGAACACTTTTATGCATAAAATAATTTATATAGGTGGCTCAGCTTAGGTTTAGGCACTAGACAAAGAGAAATCTTATATCTCTTTTGTAATGGGCACTCTGCCTTAAATTGGAAAAAATAGGCTTTAAGGTGCTAAAAGGAGTAATGAATGTTCTGAAGGCCTTTTGAGACTATCCTAAGATTAGGTAAATGTGTGGAATTATGTGGGGATATGTTGAACAAAGAACTGTAACATCCTCGTCTCGAGCCGGTTCATTTAACATACATATGATACTAAATAGAAACAGCGGAAGACTTAACTTACGAAAATACTAGCTAACTTTTTTCTTTTTCTTTAATCCTTTTTCACATAATATATCACATTGCATCCTTCTCCTAGTCTAATTCTTATTTGACGAAGACGAAAATCAGACAGAGTACCGTCTGTAAATCGGACAAATGGGGATTTGAGAATCCCACTCTCAAGATATCCTGATAGATAGTTTATACAATATATACTTTCAGAACTACCAGATATCCATATAGAACCATATACACATCCATGAGCGCATGCATAACTTGGCTTTGTGCCACTATGTCTATCAGTGTGCATATCCAACATGTAATCGTATAACTGAATACAACATCATAATATAAATATGCCTGAATACACAATTGTACATGCATCAAAGCGGAAACCATGTACAAAACATATACAGGCCATATACAAGTAATGGATCAGACATCATGATCCTCAAAATGAATGGAATACTAATGCAAAGTAACAAATCCTCCAAAATAACAGTAGCATACTGCTACCCAAAATCTGGTCCGTGATGCCCTCTATCCACGGGTCGTATCATTGCCCCGTGTAGGCTCACCAGCAGTCTGTGCACCTGAAATGATGTCCCCAAATGGGGTGAGATAAAAAATCTCAATAAGCTCCAGGTTTATAGAGAAATCTCCATACCCCTGGGCCCATTCCTGCATGAAAGTCAGATACAGAGTATACAAAACATCATATAACAGATATCATAACAGAACAAAGCATATATACATATCTTATCAGAGGCGTACACAGTCATTCCCAATGGAGGACCCCAAGTGGAAATCAACGCACATGTTCCCAAGGAAGACCCCAAGAGGAACCAGAACATATAAGATGTGTACACAGTCAGTCCCGAGGGAGGACCCCAAACAGACATCAGTGCACAAACAATTAATGGCCAAGGACCAATACATAAATCACATCAAAACAAATCATATCATGTTATCATATAGCTCTATATGAATGCATCTTTACAAAGCATCAAATACAATCATACAATCCAACCACAGTTCACTAACCATGGTGGAGCACTCAATCAGGGAAAGACTCCTTAAACATAGAGCTTACCTCTTGAAGCTTTACGAATTCACTCACTTGTAACACAAGTTACCTATTTAGCTCCAAAGGAATCCAAAGACTCTCAGTCCCCAGGCACACCTAGAGAAATAATCCAAAACAAAACTCAATAAAATGCTACAATGCCATGTAATTACTAGACATACACTTTATTGTTTATTTTCATTTCTTTACATTTATGTCAATTCTATGCCAATACACAAGCCAAGACCATACTTTCATAAATTCCTTTATTAGATCATTTTAAGGATGATTACATGAACCACAAGCACCATCATGGTTTCATATTTACATAGGGTCTTAGAATGACCCATCCAAGCTTCTAAAACACCCTTCACCATCTTTATCTATTCCTAGCCCCCAAAATCATACAATGACCGAAGCCAATACCAAGGGAAACTAGGGATTTTTCTCAATTCATTTCATACCACTAAAGGTTCCTAAGTTGCTTATGCATTCCCTTAACAATTTAAACACAACTTAGGCATATTTTCTTTCAAAAGGCCGTGGGGTCCATTTTAAGGGAGCCAAGATATCTTTCTTAATTTCTCAAGCCATATGACTTCATAATCTTATCCATTACATGCATTGGAACCTCAACACACCATCCAAAAAAAGTTTACATAATCATCCCCCCTTGGAACCTTGATGGCCAAAATCAAATGTGGTGGTTTCCAAGGGATTTTTCCTTTGTAATCTCACTTAAACACTTAATCCACAACTTGCACAAACATATAAACCTCCATAATTATTTAATTTAATTTTTTTGTACACTAACCTCTAAATGCCCAATATGGCCGAACCCTATGTGGTGGTTCAAAGGAATTTCTTTCAAAATTTATACACATAATCATGGTTATCTCACCTTTACACTTCACAACAACACTAATTCATCAACCAATTCAAATTTCAAACTCAAATATTTTCCATAACATATGCTCATAATATTCAAAACTTAAATCATGACATTAAAACCATTGGAATGAGGATCTCTTACCCCAAATACCTATACAAGGCTTGAAGAACAAGACCCAAGCTTGGTTTCACCCAAAAATCATCTTCTCTCACTAGGATGAATAATGATCGAATTTTGAGAGGAAGAGAGCTTTTCACACAAGTCTTTTCAGCCTAAACAAAGTAGTGGGATGGATTCACCATGATCTCTACTTAAACTTTCATGTATGGCACTTTGTGTTTTAGTGGCTAGATAAGTGAGAAAGAGAGGAGAGAGAAAACAAACCCTTACCCCCTACAACCATGGAAGCCACGGGTGAGAGAGAGAAGAGGAAAGACAGAGGCGCGCAGGAGGAAGAAGAAATAAAGGAGGGGTGCCACGGTTTCTAAACTTTAAATAGGCAAAGTTACTTTAACTAGGTAACAACTTATCTATCTACACACCTCCATTCAATACCAAACTTTACCCAATGAACTAAAATAT